GCTCATCAAAAGACTTCACCAAAAGAGTAAAAAGAGAATCTACAGACCAGGAAAAAATTTTTGGCTATAATAAATCCAACAAAGGTCTAACCTCTACAGGAAAAGTCAACACCACTACAACAAAAAGACAAATAATCCAGTTAAAAAACGGGCAAAGGAAATGAACAGACACTTCATCAAAGAAGACATTAAAGCGACCAACAGACACATGAGGAAATGCTTGGGATCACTAGCCATCAGAGAAATGCAAATCAAAACCACAATGAGATACCATCTCACCCCTGGCATTACTGGCACAGATCAAAAGAACAGAAAATAACAAATGTGGGAGAGGCTGCGGGGAGACTGGAACTCTTATGCACTGCTGGTGGGAATGCAAAATGGTACAACCATTTTGGAAAACGATATGGCGCTTCCTTAGAAAGCTAGAAATAGAAATACCATATGATTCAGCAATCCCACTCCTAGGAATATGCCCTAGATAAATAAAAGCTGTCACGCGAGTAGATGCGTGCACACCCATGTTCACTGCAGCATTGTTCACAATAGCAAAGATGGAAACAATCTAGGTGCCCATCAACAGACAAATGGATAAAGTTTGGTACATACAATAGAGTACTATGCGACGATAAAGAATGATGATGAATCTGTGAATCATCTCACAACATGGATGAATCTGGAGGCATTATGCTGAGTGAAATAAGTCAATCACAAAAGGACAATAATTGTATGAGACCACTACTATAAAAACTCATGAAAAAGTTTACACACAAAAAGAAACAATCTTTGATGGTTACAAGGGAGGGGAGGGGTAAGGATGGAAAAACACTAAATAGACAATAGATAAGTGGTAACTTTGGTGAAGGGTAAGGCAGTACACAATACTGGGGAAGTCAGCACAACTGGTACAAGGCAAGGTCATGGAAGCCTGAGGGACCGAATTACTGGGCTGAGGGCTGTGGGGACCATGGTCTTGGGGAACATCTAGCTCAACTGGCATAACATAGTTTATAAAGA